ATTATCAATGCGGTTTTCCACAAATTCTAATAACCAGGAGCTGACTCTTCTGGTGTCTCTGGGTTACTGAAGGTTAGTATTTATTCTCTGAGCCCCTGGCAGCAGAGATGAGTGCAGAGACCAGGAAGGCACAATCTGAACAGGTTAAAGGAACAGACTAGGAACAGGAAACATGGTCTCTTACTCCCTCAGGCTTGCGCCACCCTGTGGCAAGTCAGAGACCAGCAATTGTTAGAAGAAAGCCCCTGTTCTGGAAGTCTCGGGGCTCTTTCAGAAAGGCATGTGTGACAACTGGCTGACATTCCAGGGACCAAATTAAGGAAGGGTGTCAGACCCACATCTTCAAACCACCACTCAGGATCCGTATTTGAAAAGCAACCATTTATTAGAACCAATACAAGAGTATGAAAAGAGGGAAAAGAGGAGGGTGGAAGAGGGGGAGAGAATGAGGTTTGCATCAATGTCAGTTGTGGAAACACATAAATTGCCTACTTTTAAACATTTACATTTAAAAGGCGAACATATATATATAATCACTTATCCTAAAAAAATAAAAAAATGAAAAGCCGACACGTTTGGCTGAACTAAAACCAAGAAACACAACCAAAACTCCCCCACAAACCAAAAAGGTCCATAGAGAATTCAATTTCCCATTTTTCCACTTAGAAATCTGGCTACTAAATGTGATGTGTTTTGCTATTCAGGATGGGACAGAGTACGCAAAGATGCCCAGCCTCTCAGTCTCTCCCACATCCCATCCTATGGGAAAGGGCGGCAAGGCTGCTGGGCCATGGGTAAATCAACTCCTGGCTACTTGGCAGGAAGTGAGACTGTGCTCTCTCCATCCTCCAGAACACCACAGAACTACCTGGTGCCGCCAGAGCTGGGGAACAGAGCAAGTCCACAAAGCACGGAGAACCGAAATGTGACTGCAGCAAGAGGCCAGGACCTTGTGCTTTTGAATGGGTTACACGTCCAGGGCCAAGGAGCAGGAAAGGAAAAAGAGCCCTGTTGGGAAGAGGAGCTGGCTGAGCCCACATTTGGGCAAATAGGAATAAGTGTCCAAACTTTTCCCAAACCGGAGGGAAAAACAGGTCAAAGTCAGGTTCAGACTATGGACACTGAGAAAAGATGACAAATGAGTACAGTTAAGTTGGATGAAGCTTTAAGAGTGTTAAACATATCTCTAGAAAAAAATTTTCCCAAGATGGCTCTTTTTTGGTAGGGGAAGGAGAAAGTGGTTATGTTTATTGAACCAGCTTGTTCCTATGGGGAGGCAAGGGGTGCAGTGACTCAGTTTGGTGGGGGTAGGGGGAGGACATGATAAAAGCAATGATATAAATTAAGCCCACTGTATTCACTTTGCTCCTGAGACAGCTGAAGTCTGTTCCAATCCCATGGGGAATGGGACCTTAATTCCCAACCTGCAGAAAGAAACAAGCAGTAGCATCCCTGCCTCATAGTTTCCTAATCCAATGCTCTTGGGTCTGAAACAGCCTCTCTTCGTGGATGCAAGACATAGAAAATGCTAAGTGCCTTCCCCCGTAACATCCTATGTCTGGACTATTAAGACTCCAACATTCACAAAAACACTGTCAACATCTGAACTAGCAGCTTTGATGAGGGGTGGGGGGCAGAGAACTTGCCGAGGTCACTAGGAGTTCCAACCTTGGGACAGCTCAGTGAGGACTAAAGCCTATGTCAGGTCTAGACTTTAGACTTCGGCTAAAGTATTCTACCAATTTTGATTTACAATGCCTCACAACACCCCTGTGAGGTAGGTCAGTATCATCAACCCCATTTGACAGATGGGGAACTGAGGCATTGAAAGGAGTGACTTGCCCAAGGTCAGCCATTATGAGTCAGTTGAGGTTGGCACACATAGTCAGCATCCACTAAATTCTTGTTTCACTCCCTAGGGCACCTTAATTCTTAGAGTGCATGTGCAAGCAAAAGGAAGTCAGCAGGTACACGTCACTCTGCAAATTAGAGGAACTCAACCAACCCATGAGTATTAACAGAGGGCCTATGATTTATCTGGCATAATGTAAGGAACATTGGAGACACAGACTGCTTCTGAAAATCATGTGTTAATGGATGTTTTGCAAATAAAATTACATTTTAAGCATTAAGGGCATGAATTCTTCTGTAAAGAAATACTTTATCATAAGACGTGAGGGAGTAAGTCATACTGATTTTCCAAAGTTCTATACTGAGTAGCTCCTATTCCTAAGCCCTAAAATCCAAGAACAAGACCTCATTCGAGCAAGAAGCTTTGTCCCCAGTGGTGGTCTTGGTAGTGCTCTGAGCTGCAAGGTCGGAGGAGGGGGCGCAAGGCTAGCAACCAGCAATGGTGGCCGCAGCACTCTGTCCAGGCTAAGCTAGGCGGCAGGATCTGGCCACCAGACACCCTCTTGCCACCGCCTGTCCCTCCCCTCAACGCCCACAAGGCAGCATCTTTCCAACCTTTCTGCGCCAGCCCAACTGGAGGAGTTGGCAGGATCTTCATGAATGGTTCTGGAGAATAAGGATATAAAAGGTGACCCCTAGTTTTCTATTCAGAGAGAGGGGATGAAGTGTTCTCTAAAACTAGTTGTAAGACTCTTGTAATATTCTTTAACATCCCGACAGGCACGTAACTCTTGGATGAAATCAAGCTTCAAAGAAAAAACACCTTCCCCACCTCTGAACTTAAAACTGAATTCTGGTAGTAATCATTATGACCCTTCTCCTAAAACTAGGGGGAAAAAACTAAAACCACAGTCAGCCCTAGCTTAGAATCACATCCTAAAGCTACCAGAAACTGCAGCACACTGACTTGAGCTTTAAAAGCCCTGTGACACAATTTAAACTCTATCTTCTCGGGTCTCCTTGAAGAATCTCCAGGCAGAAAGCCCCTCTTTTCCTCTGTATCCCCTCGCAATAGCCAGAGCAGCACGACATCTACATACATCAGAAGCTCAAAGAATGATTTGCCAACACACAGTATTATGTCCACCAGGGATGCTCTCATTCCAGGAAGGATGAACTATCCCGAGACCTAAATATTAACCTTTTTTCACTGACTGCTGATCACAATGGACAAGTCCAGGTGACGATAACGTTCAAGACATTAAAATGACAAAGGCTGTTCAGGTTCAGTCTGTTTGGAATTCCTCAAAAAGTGTGATGAACTAGCCACTGGAACATAGATCAACTGAGGGTCACACCTGCCAATGCCAGGGGACATCTTTCTCTGTCACACACACACACACACACACACAAACAGAATGGCAAGATAAAAAGTTCATTGCATTCAATTTAGCCTAATTTCTTGATAATAGTTTCCTATTAGATTTTCCGATTAATACTGATGGCTCTTACCTAGGCTGTGATAATTAGGTTTTGATCTATTGTGACATTAATGATCACAATCAGTTGACTTTGAAATTGTCTTAATTAAGGGCTCTTCCCTCCTCAGCTGCCTCCAGTGCAGGTTCTGTCCCCTCCGCCAACTATATTGTTTTAACTCTTTTTTTCTTACTGATCCCAGAGACAAATACCATTAAGGATCACTTTCTTCCCATAAGCCAAGATTTTAAACTATTTTAAAACATTTCTCTGACAGAACAACAATATGAGATGATGAAATGAGGATCAGGATGAAAAGGCAAGAGAACATGCTGTCAAGGCATAAAAAAAAATTTCATGCCAGAAAACAACCAAAGTCAAGCATGATGTTAGAGTGGCAATGACAAGCTGAAGCTAACTCTAAAAAGACAAGATGAGGTAGTTTAAAATTCAAGAAATCCAGCGCAAGCACAAAGAAATTAGAATTGTTTTATGAAGCTATCCACAGAACCTTCACATTTTAACTTTCCAGAACAATTACTCTTCATTCCTGGGAATTCTGATTTCCAAAGTTAGTCAACTCTGTGGTTACACAGTTCAGAATTAAGAAACTTCTTAAAGTCAGACTGTTTCTTAGCAGGGCTGGGCCTCCCTCTAGACTTCCCTAGACTGCTTAAATCTGAAACGCCAGGGTATGTGCACTTCCAGGAGAGGTTTTCACATAACTGACACACGTCTGCCTAGAAATCACCACCTTGCAGTGCTGAATAAAACTACATTGCACAGAGTAGATGCTCACGTGTTAAGACCTGCACCCCCAAGCCTTCTTTTGAGCAAATCCCTTGTCACTGAAAAGTATGTCCTCTGTTTAAGGCTTAAAGCCAACCTCATGTTACTTTTTCCAAAAGGGATGAGAAACTGAAAAAGGTGTGAGCAACTCTGATAAAATGTCCGAGAGGAATAAATGTTATAGAACCCATGATAATGTAACACCACAGAACTGTATCTGCAACACAGATAATAGTTTCCACAGGCAAGGATTAACTAGACCATTAAATACTTTGGCAAAGAGCCCACAACAGGGATCAAAATAAGGGGCTCTCAATCCCCACTCACCTGTTATTTTCTCTCTAAGCAACAGCACTGCTAACCAACCTTCAGTTATCCTTATTTTCTAGAATAAAACAAGCCCTTGTTGTAGTCCATCTATGGCCAATTAGCTCAGTTCATCCAAGGTCCAGGTCTACCCCCTGTGAACCATCACCATCCTACTGTCCCCCCACAGAAATGCGTACCCAATTGCAGCATTTACTACACTGAACTATTAACAGTCAGTTCATCCCACATCAGTATGAAAGTTTTTTGAGGTCAGGGACTGTATCTTCTTGTACTTTGTACCCCCAAGGCCAAAAAAATGCTTGTGGAGTAAGATGAATGTTGATGCACACTAAGATGGCCGCAGTGTGGACAGCTCAATACAAATTCACCACTATTAATTGGGTGGAGACACTGAATTCTGAGCATATCGTATACTACTGGGTGCAAGGCTGGTAACATCTCTGTTTTTGAAAATGTAACTTTTATGATTAGCCATAAAGCCAGCATGAAACTAGAATACACTGGATCAAAACCATTCGTCTCTCCACCTAGCCACAGGTATGTTTGCTTGGTCATCTGATTACAAAGGTACAGACCTCCACACTACAATTTTTCATCTAAAAACCTAAACCAAAAGGATGGAATCACAGATGCAAAATGAGCTTTTCCTTTGACCTCACTGGTGAGAAACAACCTCCACATTTCAAATCTAATGCCCTAACCCAGCCTGGGGTTCTCATGTCATTGGAAGGCAGTATTTTAGGCCCTCGAACTCAAACCCTAAGGGCAAAGACAACTGCGCCCCAGCCCAGACACAGGATAGATCCCTCTGACTCCTACTGTACTTTCAGTGAGCTGGACTAAACACAGATCCAAAAAATGGCATGATGAAAATGCCAAGTACCTTCCAAAAAGCCCTAGGATCTGACCTGAACAGCAGGAAAATGGACTGTAGGGTAGCCACAGAACAAGAATGAAGAGAGTTAAGAATAACCTAACTGTTCAAGCTATGGACATAGGACTAACCTGTCATCACGAACAAAGAGCAGTACACAGATATGGCTGGGGGATAGCCAAGGACCACCTAGACTTGTATTAAGGAACCACCACAGGCTCAAATGCTTCCTTAGGCAGACAAAAACTGGACTGTGGGAGGAAAAATGATATGGCTCTCTCCAGGTTAAAAATGGGTGCTTTCATCAGGGCTGATGTTCCTAATGGCTAATCCTAACATGAGGGTACTGGCCCAGTGCAGAACTCAAAAAGCAGCTACAATGACCTTGGTAAACTCTGCTCTGCTACCTCCTATGGAAAGGGAGATCCTTGAACATTGATTACTAAAAGAAATTCAGCATTAAAAAGATGATTTGGAAGAAGACTAAATAAATACAGCAAAAATGTGCTTCAAGCACCATAGACCTAGATATTTAAGAGTGCTTAGCCCATGGCTACTAACTCTTCTGAGGAGAAAGCCCCATAAAGACAGATTTCCATTTGAGGCTGCAATTGTGCAAGGGCCAGGAGAGCTGCTCAGAACTAACAAATGCCAGAGACACAAGGCAGGCATCCGGTTTCCTTTCTGCTGAGGGCTAAAGCCAGAGCTGGCCTCTGGCTCCCTACATTCCTACAGAAGCAGTTGTGGGTAGGCAGGGAGAAAACAACTGTTCTGGCAGCATTCCGTACAAGATCATGATTCAGTAAACTATGAACAGAAGAGATGGAGTGAAAAGTGAGATATTAAAAAGCCGACAAGTAGATGGTACTTCCTTTGCTAAAAGAAAATCACATTTTGATGAATGTCTTAAATATCACCTATAACCACAGCAAACACGTGCCCCAGCTTTTTCAGGACCAATCTCAGCACTAACTAATTCTGTTGTTTTCTTTGTTCACATGTTGATTTTGGTCTGAAAAACAGTCACTGTAGTTTACATGCCCACTGCCCCTGGGAGACACAAACTGGCTCTGTGGACAAGCTGTCATTTTCTCCACCTGCAAATCAACAGGCCCAGATTACCTCCTCGGGGGCTCTGGCCTACTTCTGTCTTATTCTTGTCTACCCTAATTATATCCTTGGCTACTTGTATGACAAATCTGTTTCCTGACTATCCTTTCTTTCTTTCAAATGCCCATCAGATTAAGTACTAACCAACTGTCAATTATTTAGCACTCGATCTAGGCCTTGAATTCTTTCAGAGTAAAGAAAGATGGAGATTAAAAACTCCTACCCACTTGAGGTATGGGTTAGGAGTTCTCACCCAATCACATTACCATTCAGAAGGATTTTCCTGGGTGACTTAAACCAAAAGCTTCATTGTTCCAGTCTGTCATGTCACTGCAGCAACAGCTGTCTTCTCAACTGTGCAGTGTAATTTTTGACATAATTTATACAAGCACACAGAATTCAATCAGCAGCTGAGCAGGAAAGCAATGGTAACAAATGCTATGAATGGGTATATGATTTGCATATTATTCAGCTCATCTGTGGACTGGAGCAATCTATCCATTCCCCTGATTACTCTGAATAATCTAGAAATGGCTGACTGCTCCTGGCCAGAAAGCTATATGTTTTAAAAATCAAAAGCAACAACAAAAACAACCTCAATGGCTGGTGAAATCTAGAGTTAAGGCTAGTTCAAGCATTTATTCTTAATTCCTCAGCTTTGGACTGGGACACGGATGCTCATAACCCTGCTATTTCCTTACTTTTAGTCTTGATCCTCTAGCCAACCCCCCACCCCCAACTAAAAGAAAATGGCTAAAGAGAAGTAGGGCATTTCTTGGGGGGAAAAGGATGGAAGGTTAAGATTAGGTAATCATCTCTCAATATAATAGCAAAGCAGAAAGAAGCAAAAGGGAAATACTCTGAACAGGGACAGGTGGTTGTTGTCAACATGCTAATGCCAGGGCCTGTCACTCTGAGGTGATAGTCTTCCACAGAAACGTATTTTTAAAAATAAAATACAACAAAGAGTTTGAGGGTGGAAAAAGGGAAGAGCAGTAATACTTTGGGGAGTCTTGGTGGCAAATCCAAGAGTCAACAAAGCAAGAAATTTACGACTACAAACGCTAAGAATATTTAAAATTGATACTGTGGCCGATGGCTCCCCTCCAAGAATTCCCCACAGAAAATAATGGCATGAAGGGGAAACTTGGGTCCACTGAGAAGTGAGGGTCAGGTCTGAAGCCTCTTTGGTACCAGGAATGCTTTGGGAGGCCACAAAAGCTGGCAGGGCTGGAGGGTGCCTAGCACCTTGGCACAAGCAAGCACCAGGCAGTCACTCACACCTACATAAATATATAGTCCAAATGCGAGGGATGGAGGAAAAAATACATATATACCAAAGGTGATCATAAAGACAACTGTATCCTACCCCATCATCCTCGTGTACGAATAGCTAAAAATCTCCACAGTTCATAATTTGTCATTTTATGACAGACTACACCACCTTGCAGAAGCAGAATCAGGGATTGCTATGAAACAAGGCCAAAAGTCCTGGGGCTAAGAGTGTCTTGACAAATCTGAGTATAACATTTCAGGTCCTCCAAGGAATGGAGCTATTCTGGGAGGATTGAGTGGAGACGAACAGCGGAGGGTGGCCCAGACGACCACACCAGGAACCCTGTATTCTACTGGGTAAGCTGAATGAGGTTGGGAAAGCCCCAACAGGTAGGCAGTTGCTACTGGCTTTTTAAAAAAGATGGGAACATCTTTTCCATCCCAACATCTCAAAACAAAAGCTAGCTGGTCATCAACATGTTCTAAGAACCAAAGCAAGAAACCAAAACTCATCATCATTGTAACAAAATCCCCCAATCTAAAAAGCAACCAACCCTGAAAAGATCAAGACTCTAAGGTGATTAAAAAGTTAAAACTCATCTTGAGGTCACAGGGAAGCAGAAGGAAGAGATAAGGGCAAAGGAAAATATTGTGGGAATTACACACAGTATGTAAATGCCTGGTCTTCACAGAGAGACACTTATCATGAATCAGACCATCAGTTATGTTACAAGAGAACCAATACCAACATTTCTCCTGTGGAGCACAGTGATAAGCACATTTTTTATGGATGTGTTTAGGATAGAAGGGGGTGGGCAGAAGGGAGAGGAGGCAGGGAGGTGAATGTATTATATACAAAGAGAAATGACAGAAACCACCCCCTCCTTTAGCTCTTTGCTATTTCTTTCTCTTTGTTTTCCGCATCCTCCGGATATGCGTGCCACGTCAGTCTCTCTTCATAAAATGCTATCACAATCTGTGGACATTTGACATTTGCTTCTTTTGCAAGAACCAGGTCTGCTTCATCTGTGTCTTTCCTGGAGAGAGAGAATATGAGACTTAGAAGGAGAGGAAGTTAGAGAGAGAATCTACCTAAACCAAGGTTTATATTGTTATGAGTTTAACCGACTTGATTTCCTCTCCGTCTTGATTTCAAGGTGAGAAGGACCCTAACAGCTCGACATTTTCTAGGAGAAATTCAAGCGAATAAATTATCAGTGAGTATCATTTAACTACCATATCAGACAGAACCAGAAGTCTTCAGCTAGGACTTAGACGGAAAACATAGCAGACTTAATCAAAAGGCTGAAAATGAAGTTATGTAAATTTACTCCTATAATTTTGATTTGTACGTACTGAGTGAACACAATCAAACCTACACTCAGTCCTATTGATTATGCAGATAATGTTCAATCCAGTTTCCGGATCATCTGAGTGAAAGGGTCTTAACCTTCCTCATCTTGTGGCCTTTTAAACACTCATTATCCTTTCGGTGAGAACTATGGATTGGAATAATAAGAAAACAGAAACTCAAGTCTACAACAGTATTCACATATGGGAAAATAAGAGAGAATGTAAAATCTAGTCACTAAAGTGAAATGTAGGAATTAGCTGCAAATTTCAATTATCCAAGTTACAAAGGCTCTACTACCATATATAACAAAAAAAATCTAGCAAGTCCCTTAACCAGTATTCCAAATTGAGAAAAAAAAAAAAGTATCGTAAATTAAAATTCCAGAGATTTGAGCAAAGACAACTACCTCCCTTTCGAGAAAACTGAGACGTTTAACTCATAGAGGTAAGTATTATGAGTGAGGAGGAGGAGGGGAAAACACACAGCTCGGAGCAGACACTCAAATTTGGACTGTGGTGGGAAAAAAAGCTAGTTAGTATGTGAATGTAAATCGTAAGTAACACATATGGCTGAGTGGGAAATAGAGTCAGTACAGCTCCTTACTTCTGACAGAGTATAATGATTCTTCAAATCGAGGCTTCTGGGTAATTTCCCAGCAAAATTTCGATCAGATAAAATATTAAACCTTTTGATTCTACAACTTTAAGGTAAATTAGCTTCCTCAGCGGCAATGCAGCATGAAGCCTCTATTTAGAGACCGAATTTAAATCACAAGCCCAGAACACTTGGAAACAGAGAGGCAGTGAGGGCCACACCATAAATCTCACTCTGTCTTTAAGAAACCCAATTGAGGGGAAGTAACTACGCTTTCCTCTAAGAGACGCCCCCTCCACCGGATGAAATAACTTACACTTTGGCTAGTATTAGTCTTAATGCTTTTTTTTTGAGATTATTCTTCTCTTTAGACATTATTCAGTTGTTCTGATCCTCAGTGATGGCAGAAAGCCTCACTCAACTCCTATCTTATGGCCACAGGCTCATGGTCTGACGGTAAATGATTCAGAACTGTGTAAATAAATGGTTAGGTCATGTCTTTATGTTTCCTACCTCAAAACTATCTTAGGTACTGGGACTAAAGTAATTTGGCTTAACACCAAAGCCTGAGAATGTCTTAAATCCACTTCCAACCATAATTTCTATTAATACTAACAGGTGTTATTAGCCAAAGATCCTTGATAATCAAAATTCTTAGTTGGGGAATACTCTATCCTCCCTCCCTATCTTCCATACAAATTCAAGCCACCAGCAAAGAAGACCACTGTACAGTGAGGCCCAATCTCTCTCACCATTTCATTAGGAACATTAAATCGCCACAGGAATCTGTTGCCCCAATGATCTTTTCTGGTTCCAGTCCTCTCTCAAAGCCTCGAGCGATATCATTGCTCTGCTATAAATAGAAGATAAAGAAAGGTTACAGCTTAGAGTAAAAAAAAAAGAAAAGAAAACAAAAAAACCTGTTTCTCAGTTCAACAAAGCAAAATCTAAGTTCATTTTTGTCACCAATTCAAAGAATTCTTACAACTTAAGAAATACAGTAGTGGGCCAGCCAGTGACAGTGATGCCAAGAAATATTTTTGTAAGAAGATGCAGTTGTTCTTCCATAGTCCTTCAAGGATTAGAAGCAGCCCTTAAAACTTGTTCATAGCCCTTAAGATATTCTGGAGGCACCATCTAAGAACTCTCTCTTATCTCTAACTCTCTAATCTCCTTGATATTATGAATTGATACCCCTAAATTGTTGCTTCTGAGATAATAAACAAGTCCATGCTTACCTGAACTAAACCCTTTTCCATTTTACAAACTTCAAATATACCACCTCTCAATCTTAATTTTCTTAGACATTTAATTTACCTTAACACTGACCAATATATATATATATATATATATATATATATATATATATATATATAAAACACTGACCAATATTTTTAATACTTCTTTTCACACAGTTGTCTATACCGATGAAAGAACAGCGGTAAGAATCATTCAAGGCAGTACCATAAAATAGCAGATTTCTTTCAGAGCTCACAATACCCACACACTTGGGAGAAGAGGCCCTGGTCTGTGCCTATCCCCTCCTGATGTGGATGAGTTGTTAGCACTATAGAATAGAACTGGACAGTGACTTAAAACAAACTGGCAATTTTCTTGAAGATTATTCAAAATGTAATCATGCCACTGAGACAAGGCGCAGAGTCCGATTCGGGTGTGCTGGCACTGCTAAGCACAAAACAGTGACATTTTAAACAAACCAGGTAATTTTAAAAACCTTATTATGGAACATAATGCAAATTTATCTAGTGGCAACATAAAAAAGATTCAGTAAGACTGCCCAAATGAACTAAATCTCCAATGTCTGATTTTCATAATAAAATCTCTTTGATCTGACATTCACCCTGCTTTTTTTCTGAGAGATACAAAGTATTCAGGATCCAGGTGGTCCCCAAAGATACCAGAACCCACACTGGGAAGGAAATTCCATCCACGGATCAGGGGAGATAGTGACTCAAAAACACAGCCTCTTTTGGGGGCGCTTAAGGGGAGGAGGTTCCCAGATGTGCACACAGCTGCTCACAGCTGGAATGCTGGCGCACGAACTGAGTCATAAATCATAGCTGGCGGCTGAAAACAGTTTGCCACATAGAGAGGGAAGGGAAGAAAAATGTTCAAGCTGCTGAAAAGGAGCCGAGGCGAGGAAAATGCTAAAATCATCACACAGGCAGTAATCTTAAATCAGGCATAATGCCGACTAACAAATTTCTTCTGCAGTGGTCTAAAGAAAGAAACGCAATCCCCTCCTGTACTTTTAAAACATACAATCACCTATCTTCCAGGCTACCTACCTGACAGTCGCCAGCACTGCTGAGAATGCTGCCAGGGGCCCCAGGTGAACATTACAAAGGACGTGTGGGGGTTGTTTTCAAGGTCAGCAGCATCAGAACCTGGCCTAGGAATGAAACTCTCTATGTTGGCTAGGAGGTCTAAAGCCAGACTGCTCCTTTTTGAAAGGACAGAAACCTTAGGTTGAGGAAATACACACTGTATGTCACAAATGGCTAGTCACAAGTCTTCTGCTGTGCTGTTTTTTGGTCTCTTTACTTAGTTAAAAAATGAATCAAATGACAAAAGCCAGAATACAAAGGACTAATAAAAAAGAAAACAGAAAGAACCAAGTCTTAGCTCCTTAGAGAAGGCACTCTCAAATTCCTTATCAGTACACTATATCATAATGATATACACACCTCACCAGAAGAGAGCGGTTTTAAAAGTAAGGTTGTAAAAAATAAAATTAATCCGGGAAACAAAGAGACAGCACAAACCTAGAGTCCACTTCCACCTGCAGCCTCCAATCTTTCACTCTTACTTCAAGTCTTTTTGGAACACTGATCTCCCATTTTCTCTATCACTTGTGTCAGTCTTTTAAAATTCTGTGCCTAGGTCCAACTCACAGAAATCTGAATTTAACTAGTCTGGGGTGAATCTTGGGTATTGGGTCTTTTTAAGAATCCCCCCACCCTACCCTGATGATTCTAATGTGCAGCCAGGGCTGAGAATGAACGTTCTAGAAAGATGGGTATCAAGCAGAATGAAGATAAATAGAGATGCTTATGGCAGTGATGCTAGAAGATTCAGAAGTGGACTTATGCTTTTATTTTATTAAACGTTAAGGGTATGATACATGCTTCACCACAAAAGGCTTCATAACCTTGAAATAAATGAAAGGAATGGAAGCTGGGAGGGGGAGTGTGTGTGTCTGTGTGTGTACAAAGATGAAAAAGATACAGATGAAAAAAGAAAGGCAAGAACAGTGCTTATATGAGTTACTTGAGAATTAATGATCAGAAGAACTAAAGCAACTACATCAAACCAAAATTTCATAAGCATACTTTTCAAACTGAACAATAAAGATTCAAAAGGAAGATGAAAATTAATTTATTTGGAAAATGCAGAAATAATAGAATCAAAAGAGAATACACATGCCACTGAACTGTATGCTTTAAAACGGTTAATTGTGGGGCACCTCAGTGGCCCAGTCAGTTGAGCATCTGACTCTTGGTTTTGGATCAGGTTGTGATCTCAGGGTCTTGAGATCAAGCCCCCCGCTGGGCTCCGTGTTCGGGTGGAGTCTGCTTGTGACTCTATCCCGTCCCCCTCTGTCCTTCCCCAATAACTCGCACATGCGCTCTCTAATAAATCTTTTTTTTTTTTTAAAGATTTTATTTATTTATTTGACAGAGATCACAAGCAGGCAGAGAGGCAGACAGAGAGAAAGGGAGAAACAGGCTTCTGGCTAAGCAGAGAGCCCGATGCAGGGCTTGATCCCAGGACCTGGGATCATGACCTGAGCTGAAGGCAGAGGCTTTAACCCACTGAGCCACCCAGGTGCCCCTCTAATAAATCTTTAAAAAAATAAAAAGTAAAAAATAAAATGGTTGTGTGTTATGTGAATTTCACATCAATTTTAAAAAAGGAAATATAAAAGTTTGAAAATAAGTGCTATCTTTGAAACAAAAGGAAGAAAGACTTAGTAAACTTTTTTTAAAAAAGATTTTATTTATGTATTTGAGGCTTAACCCACTGAGCCACCCAGGTGCTCCAAGAGGTACTAAACTTTTTAAAGCTATTTTCTACCTTAAAAACTTCACCAAGTCCCTCCCTTGCTAAGATAACTTACCTGCCTATTTATGGAGAAGATAGGGAGTAGCTGTTGTTTTACAGGGTCTTAATTTTGCCACTTTAATACAAGTCAGTGAAATATACAGTACATTTCTCATTCAGCCAGGAGGGGGCGCTATAGTTAATCAACACACCTCCCTGGAAGCTCTTTTGTTCAACAATTTACCTTGCATGCCATCATTAGAACAGAAACCACCAAAATACCACTTGGGGAGTAAGGGGAGTCCAGCAAGAGGCAAAAACAATTGTTTGTGGGAAAAGGGGGGAAAGAAGCTTACCTCTCTCTTTTTTTTGGATTTGATATCATCAGCATTGTTCGAGAAATTGGATTTCCTCTTGTTACTTTCCGACTTCTCCCTGGGTTTGTTGTTTTCACCCTCCTTCATCTTCTTATACTTTTTCATAAACTCAGAAATTAGCTCAGGGCAATCCAAATTTTTCTCAGGTTCCCAAGTATTGTGCTCCCTGGGCACAAAGAATGGAAAAAAAAAAAAAAAAAAAAAAGGGAAAAGAATGAGGAGGGGAAAAAAATCCAGTGCTTTCTTTTAAAGAAGACAAGTAGGCAAAATAAAAAAAAAAAAAAAAAAAAAAACAAAAAAAACAAACAAACAAAAAACAACAACAACAACAAAAAACCTACACTTAAAAGAGATAATAAATTTGATCCTAGGAATCTTGATAAGATAAATGAAAAAATATATCCACAAAGAAACTTGCAATTTCTTATAGCAGTATTTCAATAGCCAAAGACAGAAAACAATTCAAATGTCCATCAACTTGTGAATGGATGAATAAATGTGGTACATTTATAAAGGAGAATACTATTCGGCAACAAAAGGTACACAATACTAATTAATACATGCCACAACATGAAAGAACCTCAAAAATAATATGCTAAGAAACCAGATACAAAAGACTATATATTGTCTGATTCCATTTATATGAAATGTAGGAAAGACACATTTAGAGACAAAATGTGGGACTGAGATTAACTATAAATGAGCTCAAGGGAATCTGGGGAAATTACGGGAATATCCCAAATTGGAGTGTGGTAATGGTTGACAACTCTATGAATTTACTAAAATTCATTGAATTGTATACTTTCAATGGATGAATTTTATAGTATCTAAATTATACCTCAAAAAAGTTTTTTAAAACTCAAAATATGAATTCTGCTTTATAAAATAATGATTTCATATAATCGTCTATGCAAATCCTGAGAGAATAATGTAACAAAGCATGCATCCCCAGTTTACACTATCTTTAACATGTTACTTACATTTTGAACAAATGTCAATAAATTATTTCAAGATTAGAAGTACTGCAAGATTTTTATTAAGAAAAAAGGTAGTATAAGGGCTTAAATCATTAGAATATAGGTGAACAGTAAGAAGATGACTCAGAAGTGGGATTGGAGTACATTAATTATGTTGTGGAATCAAGTCTACTGTTACCAGGCAGTCAAAACACATTTTTATATTAACAAAAAACAAATATTAATATTAGTATTAATTTTAAAAAACCCGAATACTGAATCTAACTAAACTTGAATCAAAGGAGTCCTATTATGAGGAAAACAGTTATTATTCACAAAGTTGTTTCTATTCCCGGCAGGGGTTTCAGAAAACCAAACTACCAACTACATTATAGGCTTATGGAATCAAATCATGAGATGTACCTCCATAGGAAAAACCAGACCAGGCATCCTCTTCACTCCTAGCCAGTGGCAGAAGTTCTTTCGGTTAAATAGTAAGGACTAGTTTATATTAAAGTATATGTGGAAATATATCATAGAAACAGTTTCTACAATCCTTTCATTGACCCGGGTAAAAATTACTTAATTTATGTACTATCCATTTAAAATATTTTATTTTGGGGGCGCCTGGGTGGCATTAAAGCCTCTGCCTTCGGCTCAAGTCATGGTCCCAGGGTCCTGGGATCGAGCCCCGCATCGGGCTCTCTGCTCAGCAGGGAGCCTGCTTCCCTTCCTCTCTCTCTGCCTACTTGTGATCTCTGTCTGTCAAAAAAAAAAAAAAAAAAAAAAAAAAAAAAAAAAAACAAAAAAACTAAAATAAATAAATAAATAAATAAATAAATAAATAAAATATTTTATTTTGGTTTTCAAATAAGGTATCTTTAGATGCGCGTGGTTTGAACACACACCATAACTAGACTCAAATAAGAAGGAGAATAATGGAAAAATAAGGTATTTATTCTAGATTTAAAACTTTCTGCAAAAAGAGCTTGAGAATGAGACAAGATTTATTTCGAAATCATTTGAGCTAAAACTAGAAAAGCCTCTCCTTCATAGCTCTTCTTTCAGCAAAAGGCAAAAAAACCAAAAACCCCACCTCATACAGTAACTTTCCCCCAAATCCACAAACCACAGTTTCTTCTAGGATATCAAAAGAAATTAAGACACCAAAAGCAAGAGGTGTGCCAACACTGAACACAAGCAAGCAGACATGGAGGGAGAGGAGCAAATCTCTATGGATAGCAAGGAAAGACAGTCCTATAATGGGATTCTCTCTTTTCCTACCATATTGGTATTGCTGCTTCTACAACAACCAATTTCCACCCAAAAGACAGCATGGTATAATTTAAAAAAAGCCTATGCATTAGGGCCAAAGAAATCTGATACTAGATCCTTGGGCCAGCACTTACCAGTTATGCCATCTTCGGCAAATAGCTTCGCTAACTTCCTCATCTGTAAACTGAAAATACCTCTAAAGGCTGTTATGAGAATGAAAGAAAACACATGAGGTAGAAGAATCTGACCACTGCCCAACAAGCAGTAGGTACTTAGTTAGGTAATGCTAACAGGGCAAAATTTGTTTTAGTCTTTTAATGAAATCCTGGGCACTTCTGAGAAAGTAAGCACAAGTGCTTTAATCCATCCACCTCAAACTTCCTTTCCCTCTTTAATCTATTAAGTTACCAGTAACTCAAATACAGACACAGTCTCAAGAACCTTCGAAATGACCAACAACTTCCAATGGTGATTCAATGAGCCCAATAAACACCCTTAAAATCTTTCAATGTTCTTTTAATTCCTATTTCTAGGTCTCTCAAACTCATAATTTCTCAACTCTAAAGGATGTGGTGTTATCACTCCTCTTCAGAAATATGGAGGGCATACTCTGATTGCTGTGCTACCCACATTTCATGCTCTCTGTGCTAGAGATCCTAAGCATCCTGTAGTGCATGCACTGTCCCACTTAAAACGCCAAAAGTGCTCCAAATGAGAAACACTGACTTATGTAGTAAAATAACCTTAGGTATGTTCCAAAGGCTCCTGATTCAGACCTTTGTCCAAAGGTACCATCAAAATTTGAACCATTTAGTACATATAAGTCCTACACGTTAAAGCTGTGATGTTCAATGTGCTAACTACTAGCCACATGTGGCTAACTGAACACTTGAAATGTGACTAGTCTGAACTGAGATGTGCTATAAAATGTAAAATACACGAGATTTTTAAGACTCAGCATGAAAAAGGTAATATAAAATATCTTAATTTTTATACTATTAATGTTGAAATTTATACTATTAATGTTGAAAATCTGATACACTGATAAATTATTAAAATTTCTTTTGGGGTGCCTGGATGGCTCAGTGGGTTAAGCCTCTGCCTCGGGCTCAGGTCATGGTCTCAGGGTCCTAGGATCGAGCCCCACATCGGGCTCTCTGCTCAGCAGGGAGCCTGCTTCCCCCTTTCTCTCTGCCCGCCTCTCTGCCTACTTGTGATCTCTCTGTCAAATAAATAAATAAAATCTTTAAAAATAAATTTCTTGGGGCGCCTGGGTGGCTCTGTGGGTTAAGCCGCTGCCTTCGGCTCAGGTCATGATCTCAGAGTCCTGGGATCGAGCCCCGCATCGGGCTCTCTGCTCTCTAGGGGAGCCTGCTTCCTCCTCTCTCTCTGCCTGCTTGTGATCTCTCTGTCAAATAAATAAAATCTTTAAAAAAAAAAAAAAATTTCTTTAATGCGGCCACCAGAAATGTAGAATTCCCCATGAGCCTTGCATTATATTTCTATTCCAAGCCACTCCAAGAAGACTGTACCAGTTCCTACCAGTGCACTGGGTTCTGGAAAATCCATTATTTGTTATCAGGCATCCTGAGGAAGAGAATTAATCAAAAACTGAGGCAAAATGTCTAACAATTACACATATTTTACCTTTCAAGCTACCTCCTCTGTGCTTCAATGTGTCTAGTTGTGTTTATTCCAAGGAAAAAGAATAATCACCTTTAGCACTTCAGCTTAAAGCCATTTAAGCCATTGACATTCTAGTCAATACTTCAGTATCGTTCTTAAAGCTCATTGACAAAAAAAAGGGGGGGGTTTAAGGTCTTCAAAAAAACAAAAACAAAAAGCCAGACAGATTTTATTAAAGTATTAATTGCAGAAACTAGGTGGTGTGTATCTGAGTGTTCAATTTCTTTTGCCTAAGCTGTAGATCTGAAATTAAAAAATTAAATATTGGGAGGAAAAAAAACGTGGCCTCAGATTTAAGTTTCTCATTAAGAGGAGTCCTTCACTCTAGGTCACTTGTGAGATCCAAGAATCATTCTGGAAAGCTATGGGCTATGGAATGGATGACTTCTGCTTCAATGTATATATTTTAGCTTAGTTATATCCATAAGAATACTAACAGTGACAGTTTATACTTTTTTTAAAAGAAGATTTTATTTTTAAGTAATCTCTACACCCAGCATGGGGCTCGAATTCACATTCCTGAGATCAAGAGTCACATGCTGTACCAACTGGGCCAGCCAGGTGCCCTAATAATAGTTTATATTTATTTACACTGAGCTTACCTGTCAGTCTCTACATATACCCAACATCTCTAAGACAAGTACTATTTCCTCTTCCTATTTTATTGAGGAAGGAAAAGATTAAGGAACTAAACCAAGGTCACCCAGCTCATAAGTGGTGGAACAAGAATCTTGACCTAAGCAATCTGGCTCCTCATCTAAGCACCTAACCAATTCATTATACTATCTCTCAAAAGCATTATCATTAGAACACCAGCTCGAAGGGAGACTCTATTTAGTTTATTGCTGTGTCTTCTGACTCTTAGGAGGAGTGCAGGTGAGGAGAGAAAAAGACGAAGATGGCAATGGCTCATGGGGAAGGAAACCAAAGGTGTCCACCTCTGCAGAGTGCTAAGGCCTAAAGAAGACACTTACTCAGAAAAGCCTTTCCACTTCAGTAGATATTCCACTTGCCCCTTAACTACACGCCTGTCTAGCACCTTCTCGACAACATACTCCTCCTCATCCTCTGAAGAAGAACTGTCAGCTGTCCGCTTGGTTTTCTTTCCCATGTTGCACGCTGTTCCACCTGAAGGACTAAGGCCACCGGGTTCCTGCAAAGAGGAAGGACAAAATGATCGAAATCCATGCAAGGAATTAAAACTTTGTCTTTTCTTGATGGAATGCAGAGGGGATAACACAAAGTTGCCATGTACCCTTCTCTTGGGTCTTGAAGCATTCTATAGACGGTTCCTAAGAATATAAGGAGAAAATGGTCAATCCCCACTTTCCCAAAAACAACTTTTTCTTCAGCTCACAAGACCAAAATCATTATTATACACACAACTAACTCTTCTAATTTCAGATTCCAAAAGACAAGTGGTGTGGTATGTTACTCCTGGGTACTTCTTCTATAACTGTTAACAAGCCAGGATCTCAAACAAATGTAGAAAGCTACCAGTTAAAAGTACAGTGACAAAATTAAAACCTTACCTTTAAGGTGAATAAGGTTCTTCATAAAAATGAAAAAAGAAAAGCCCCAAAATGTAACCTTCCCCTGCTTTGAGGATCTTGACTAGTCTCTTGGCAGCACAAAAAGGCCTGCTCAGGCATCTTCTCCACTGTCTTCAGTGACTTGGTATACCTTTCCCTCAAACAAACTGAGCTTGTCCCTAGAGCGTCCATCAGTTCACAAAAGCAAGGCTGGCATCTCAGATACATGAAGCCTTTTTTTTCACTTAGGGATGGTAGAGAGGCAAGAACAACAACAAATATTTTTAGTCCAAAAACTAAAAAAATTCAGTAATTCTCATGGCTCAACTAATCCAAATGGTTAAGGAGGTACTTCTCTTAACTGGAGTTGACTTTGGGCCAAAGGAAGAAGAGGAGGAAAAAGAAGTCTGGCCCCAAACTCACATCAACACGAAGCCTCAAAACACAGAGGAACCATTCATAGGCCCAAGGAAAGCTGAAGCAAAGCAACACAAATGGAAATTGAGTTAAGCTCAGAAATATGCACAACCAGGGGGTACTCAACACAGATCTAGTTTTTAAAATTCCCACATTGTTGTTTCCATAATCACTTTTAAGAATTCTTTAACCAAGTTAAATGGTGCCTACAGTCTGGATTATAGAGTAGCAGAACTGTTTTCTTAGCTGAACTCCATTTTTATTCTTCCGTAATCTTAAAAGATTTTTTTTTTCAGCACTCTCTAAAAATATTTCCATCCTGACTAAAAGATGACTCCCAGGAACAGGGAAGGCCACTACTAATCTCAGAATTGTGTTCAAGTCAAGTAACATAAAAAGTTGCATTTGTCCATTTACTTCAAGTTAGCAAAATTTAAGGAATTATTCCAAGAACATCTAGTTGGAAACCGTATCTCCAGAACCTATTAGCAATAAATAGGTCTGCCTACCCAAAAAACTGTCTGTACCCATTACTCCCCTATAAAAAAAACTTAAGTTTTTATTAAAGTACTTTATTCAGAAGAGGGGGTGGAGGGGGAGAATGTAGACAGGAGTTTCAAAATAATTTTCCCATGAATTTAGAAGAGAGTCCTAAGCTTCAAGAAAAAAAAAATCTTATTTATTTAAAATAAAAACAGCCTCCAATCTCACCAGAGACAGGAAATGTCATATTCCAGGGAGAGTACCCCACCCCCACCCCACTCACCTTGGAATTTCCGGGAGCTGAGCAGTTTAGGTCAGAGCGCTGGGGTTAAAACCAGCCCCGGGTTAGATGCATGCAGTTAAGCATTGTGGCTATGGCCTCCCCTGCCTCACGAGGAAAAACAAGGATTTACATATGTGTTCTTCAGTTTGAGGGAGGAAAGAGGAAAATCTCCCTTTATACCTTCATGCAGAAGAGGAGCCCCAAAGGTAGAAGATGAATGGGGGTTCCCTCCTTTACCTACCGGATCGCCCCAGTTCTCTTTCCCTCTGGGCTAACAGGAGGGGCCTCCCCTCCCAGGTCTAGGGCTTGGCGGGCTGGCAGCTCCCCCGCCCCCACCCAGCTGCCTGGGAGCCACTGCGCAGCTGTCCCAGCCCGTTGCCATGGCAACTGGCAGCAGTACTAGACTAAGGGTGGGGGGGCGGAGAGGCAAACGGAAAAGTTAAAAGGCTTAACTTTCCTTTTCAGTGAAGACTGGGTGGAGAAGTTGGAAGGTACTCTCCCGGCCTCAAAGCGAAGGCATTCAGAACTCAAGGGAATTGGTTCTTGGGTTTTAACCCCAAAACCTGTGCTTATTCCTCTAAGAGCACCGGGAATTAATCAATAGCATTTTAAGATCATCTAACAGGATTATAGCTCAACTGGAAGGGGGAGGGGAAAAGCTAGGTCCCTCTACAACAGGATCAGTACAAACCCCTCACCCCTAACCCAGCCCACCAGAAGCACTTTAAATAAGGCCTTTTCTACCATCTGTCACTGAACAGTTAATTAAAATTGCTTGGGGGATGCGGGATAACAGGAAGGGGGGAAGGGAAGTATTTCAAGATACTCTACAACTTTCCTTCTTTGAGGGATTATTAGATACAGAAACAGAATCCAGACACTTGAAGCACTACCAAAGAACCTATCCACTGAAATTACAAGTAGAAAAAAATGTAATCCTTAAGTAGTTTTTAAAGAGGACAGCAGTCCAGCCACAACCATTATTGTTTTATTAAAACCACTTTTTGGGGGGGGGGGTTGCCTGAGTGGCTCAGTGGGTTAAGCCTTGGCCTTCGGCAGCTCAGGTAATGGTCCCAGGGTCCTGGGATGGCGCCCCTCCTGGGGCTCTCTGCTCAGCGGGGGGCCTGCTTCCCCCCCCCTCTCTGCCTGCCTTTCTGCCTACCTGTGATCTCTGTCAAATAAATAAAATCTAAACAAAAAACAAAAAACACTCCTCGGGGTGCCTGGGTGGCTCACTCAGTCAGTTAAGCATATGCCTTTGGCTCAGGTCATGATTTCAGAGTCCTGGGATCAAGCTCTGCACAGGGCTCCCTTGCTCGGCGGGAAGTCTGCTTCTCTCTCTCCCTTTACTCCCCGCCCCTTCTTCCCGCTACTACTCTCTGCTCTCTCAAATAAATAAAATGTAAAATAAACAAAAAACAAAAAACACATTTCATTAATTGTTATTGTAATATTATGAAACAAATTTTTAAATAATTACTACCCACCCAAAGCATTACTATATAGTAATTTAAAACTCCATATATCAATAATCCCTAATACTTGAAAAAAGGATTGTGATAAAGAAGAGATCTACTTAGAGACTACAAGTCCCATAAAGTTTCTTTTCTCCTGGCCCTAAAGACCATTTTGGAGAGCTCCAAAGCCTTCCCTCTGCTTTAGGATTCTGGTCTTTAAGACAGTTTTAGGCAGCTGTCATAGGAGAGTAAGAAAAAGGGATAATCAAAAGCAAAGACCCCAACTGAGAAAAAGGTGGAGAACAGTGATTATTTTAGTTATCAAACAGAAGAAATTATAGGGTATGAGAGTAGACAGTTTTTAACTACAGAAGATTTCCTCAAATTTGAATATACCTGTCAGAAAAATCTCTGGGTAAAAAGGCCTTTTTGGACTTTTCCTAACTTTTTAATACTTTTGTAGTTAAGGGATATAAAAACAATGGAAAGGAATTAGATCAGGGTTCTCACTGTGTGATCAACCTGCCATGTATGATCTTGAGTAAATAATTTGAGACCTAACCTCAGTATCACTAAAATGGGCCAAATCCCCACTGCCTACCTCCTAGGGAAACAGTGAGTTTAAATAGAGACCAAAGAGCTGGTAAGTCCCCCAAAGAGAAGCTTTTGTAAAAATATAGGGCCAAATTCTACAGCAGCAGGAAATACGTGACCTTCCAAATTCCTAAGCCAGTAAACCTTATCACATGCAGTAACTCCTGCAGCTCAAAATGTTAGTAGACAGCAAGAAAGAAGGGGGAGTATCTTTGTTAACTAGGTACAGGTACGGGTAAACTAATAAAGCTTCGGAGAATAAGGTACATTCTCTCTTAAGGGTAAAATACTTATTCTTACTCCCTAACACTCAGAAAAGCACTGGAAATGGCAATATAAAAAGACTAACAGTAATTCTGTGAAAAGATAAAGGAAAAAAATGACAGCAACATTATTATTTTAGTGAAACCTTTCAAGGAAAAAAAAAGTGAAATCAACAAGGAAAAGGACAAAAATATTCTGGTGTCTACCCCCTTCCTAAAACATCCGGAAATAATGTCAGATCAATTTCCTCCTTTCCCCTCTTCAAGAACTGCCTAAAGGGCACTCCGCTAAGGTCCCTTTTTCTTTGGGAAATGGGTTTTGTAACAGCTGACAAATCAAATTGGGCCTGATGCCAGAAGTCAGAGTCCAACCATAATATTCTGTAAAGAATGGCACGCAACTGTCTTGTAAATCTCTGGGACAGTCACAGATCAGAAGCTGGCAAGGATGACGACATAGTTCTGATGGAATGTGTCTTATCTTAACCTTGAAGTTACAGATCTGCTCAGGAGCAGCAGTAAGAAATGAGAAATGCACTCAGACATCGGAGGGGACATAATTTTCTTTTAGACAGTGCGACCCAGTGTATTAGGGTCAAATGAAACACAAAGCCAGACGGACAATTTAAGGGCTAGAGCCTGTACCAGATAAAGCATCAAGACTGGTGGTTCACGCTGAGCTTGAGAGAAGGGAGCGTTCGAGTATGAGAAATGAGGCATGGCTGGCAGGATGATGGAGTGATTAAGGTAGAATCCCGATACCATGACGAAGGAAGAGAGGATGAGCCTCGAGTGCAACCCTATCCTTGTGGAAATCTCCATAGGAAGGGGTGAGCAGCTTCTCAAGTTTCTAGAGTCTTTCAGACATAACAGCTCTCAGCCCTTTTGTAACGACACAGAATGACTCTCTGGTAAAGGTATCAACAACTACACATAGATTCTGGCAATTTAACTGCCCATCAGGACATGAGAAAAGAGCAGGCCCCACCAACCGTTCATATCAACGACACAAGGCAAATTCACCTTACAGGCCTCTGAGTGCTGGGCAAAAAATCCCCTAAACCAGGGATCTGGTGAGAAGTCAGCCTTGGAAAAACATCAAAGAGCACTGTGGTCAGGCACAG